TCATATACTACCTCATATCCTTAATATAAGAGTTAATTGACCAACTCGAGTAAATTAAGAATGTTTGTTAAGTTAGTTATTTATAATAAATAGATATTATATTTCCTAAAATATCTTTACTAATAATGTGTCTTAGTTAGAACCACCATTTGATGGAACTGTTAACATGTGCGACTACTATAAGAATTACTTTGAAAAAATAGATAAATATGATAGATTGAGATATTATATTTAGGACTAAATTGAATGTCCAGCTAACTTTTATATTAACGACTGGAGGTAGTATATATTCATTTCTTTAAGAGGGAGAGGGTGAGAGATTTTCATTCCCACTTACTTGAATTGTTGCATCATTGTCTTGATGGTCTTCAAGGATTGTTGAATCATTGTCTTGGTGGTCTTCAAGGATTGTTGCATCATTCATGTCTTGGCCTTCAAGAATATGCTCCACTGACAAGTCCCTGCGGAAAATGAGAAGGCATAAGTTTGAGAGTTAGACAATTGTATTAATTCAATCATTAGAAACCTCATGTGCCCTAACTTGGACAGAGAATTTTGAATTCGTATCTGGGAATAATAAATGCACTCCTTTAATTTTTTTCAAAAAGTACTTGAAAAAATGCAGTGAGTGTGTATGTAAGAACTAATAAATGAAAGAATTTGAAGAAGTCATTGAAGAGTTAAATAGCTAGAAAATTTCCACCAAAAGAGAGGCATGTTTCAAGAAGTTGAGAGTAAAGAAAAATACTAAAAATAACAAAAAGAGTCTTAGAAGTAAATTTCACTCCGATGAATCTGTATAAACATAAGTAGAGTAATAACATTGGCGGATTCAGCGAACCAGATAATTGAATATTGAGAAACAATTTATATGGAAGCACTATGAGCTTCTCTACTTGCATATAATATGCAAAATATTATACTTATATCAAACTAGTACTTGGAATAAGGGATGAACGCACCTTAAACGTCTGCCATTTAAACTGATGTATGGAACGCGAGAGATTTTGGGCCAAATTTCCTCATCCTTGTCGAGGCATCGCTCTTCGAGAAGCGAGCAACCCCTAATGTGGAGCATCAGTAGGGAAGGAGGCATCATTCCTCCTTTTATTTTCTCAAGCTTGTTACAATACTGAAGCTCTAGCTGTTGAAGAGAGGTTAGGTGTTGAAGCCCTATGCAATTCAATGTGTCAGAACTAGTACAGATGACAAGCTTATTGATAGGTGGAAGGTGATGCCATTTTGTATGACGTGATAATAACTTGTCACACTTTATAATCTTAAGTTGTTTTAAGCTGGATGGTAACAACCCTGGTGAGAATGGCTCCATTTTTGGACATCTTTTTATTTTAAGCTTTTCTAAATTTGGAAGAAGGCGTTCCATGTCATCAAACAAGGACGTCAAAAACTTGCACCTGTAAATGAAAATCCTTTTGAGATGAAGAAGAGGTGCCTTTGAAACCAAACAAGCCCTGACATTTTCACAGTCTCCCATAATTAGCTGTTCCACTGATGGGGGAATATGAGTCACTGGAGGTGGCACCGCGTCAGACAAATCCCAGACAATTAAAATTTCAATATGCAACTCTACAGACAGAGACCCCAACATGTTCCCACCTGAAATTGCCAGAACGCCTAGGGAAGGCGGCAATTCTTGCTCTCGCAACACTACATTTGGACTTTTAATCATAAATAACTTGTCAATGTTTGGACACTGTGGGATAGAAGAAGCAAGCAGTGGACATGACATAATCGTCAGATCCTCTAAAGAAAGAAGTTGTCCAGGTAGATTTCCAATTAATTTCGGACAATCATCAAAGCGAAGGAAGCGTAGTTTAGGAAAAGCTTGCATATCAATGGGATGCCATTGTTGCCAGGAGATCATATCTTTAAAATGAAGAGTTTCAAGGGAGGGAAACGGTTTTATAAGTGAAGCGCAATCATTTGCAGCCTTGAAAAACTCAGAACCCACAGTCACCACACTCTGTAATCTTTCGATTCTTAAGGACCTCAGAGAGGGTAGTTGGCCAAGTGCAGGAATTCTCCGACATCTGTTGCAATCAGTCAGCCGCAACTTAATCAAGTTGTCGTAGGAATGACCTCCTGATGACCACATTGGATATGTCGTACCCCTATAACCGACATCTTCCAAAATTTCTAAATCCCGATAATATCCAGACTCGTAAATAATATATATCTCTGTCCATGAAAATAGAAATAAATATTGAGAAATACAAAAGTAAGAATAACTTAAACATTTCTAAAATATTCAAAATATAAACTACAAAAAGTAAGAATAACTTAAGCTGTGGTGCCGGTTAAAAAAAAAAAAATTTGTGATGGTTGCAGCTGTAGCAATATTGATTATAATAATAAACTACAAACTGGCCAAAGCTTGTGGTAGATAAGCAATAACTAAACTTTATACTTTATACTATTTTAGAACATAAAATTTTAAAACAGGATAATGCATTAGGTTTGCAAAAGAAGCTAATTAAATGCGAGGCTTTCTAAGAAATCACGTTTGACGAACTCCAAAAACAAGCTAGGCTACATATCCAGACAAAAGTCATGATTTCTAGAGAATCCAATTCGATATTCACTGTGTTGGTAGGAATAGTTCTCTAAAGAGTATAAGAAGAAAATATGAAGAAGAAAGTGGTGCATGATATTTTTAAGGTATGACCATTATTTTCTTTTAAACTTAATTCGCCCCCATTTATTCTTATTTAGGGTACAAGCTGAGTTGATTGGCAAATTTTTTACAGGGTATAATAAAAACCCTTGAATATGAATTGCACTCCCAAAATTTATGCCAAGACAATAATAGCCTTCTTTGCGTGCACTCAAAGACAAAAGAAACGAGTTTAATCTTGTTATGTGTTTGTATTGTGCGTCCTTTCTTCTTGTCCAAATAGAGTGATGGTGAGAGGTTTATATAGATCATGAAGTGATGTTTTGAAGAGATGCCTCTTGGAACAATATTGCTCAACTAAAAGTTATAACCATATGTTGGTTCATGAACCAACATAATTTAAATAACTAAAAGATATTTAATATCCTTCTCATAAAAGTTATACTTTTTGAATATATAGGATTGCCTTAAGAAAACAACACAATATTTTACCTAGTGGTGTTACCATACCTTTGTATATGTCTTTAGAAATCAACTTTGATATCTTTTAGTGTTGTAACTTCCGACATAACTCTTTATATAAATATATATTAATTTATATGAAAGCATAACCTCTCATATAAATATATTAATTTATAAGAGGATACAACCCTCTGTCTAAATTTATTAATTTAATAAATTTATATAAGTACATGATTTTCCAAAAAATATAGCTCTTCGTTTTAAAAATATTCCGACACATTGGACGGTCCGAATTAGGTGCTTATCACCAGTGATGAGCAATCGAGAGAGGGGAAGGTTAAAATGAAATGAGAGAATTGGCAGATTGAGAGCGAAAAATTGGGAGAGGAAGAAAGCTGAAGGCCAAGGAAAGGATAAAGAGAAATAAATACAAAGTAATTACAAGTCCATGACGAGTAGAATAACAAAAATAAAGAAATAAGTCCATGACGAATTACAAGTTGTAAAAATAAGAAAGAAAAGAGAACCATGGCGTGAAGATAATACTTCTTAATGATCTAATTTTAATTTATTCCATTACTTTTTTTTTACCGGTAATTTATTCCATTACTTATTTCAGTAGTACTTAATTATCATAGTAATATAATCTTAAGCTTCCTATTCTTATTATAAGTACCTCTTTTATATAGCATAATATATGTTTTGTTTGAAGCATTAAGTTTTTCATCCCAATATCCCTTACTAATTATAAAACTTCCTAAGTAACGAAATTCCTTTAACTAATGACTTTTGTTGAGTGTAATTTTAATATTTTACAATAAATAATTAATTTTAACTAGCTTCATTAACTTATGTAAAGTTGTTATGGTGATTATGATACGGACTAGAGATAGTAACATTTTAAAATAACACTAAGGATATAATATGAAGACAATATCAGTGACAACACATGACAAAAGAAAGAGGATCAACAACTACCTTCATCTTCCGAGGAGTTCACTGAATTTGAATCTTTATGCATATCCCTGCACCCAGAAGAACACCCTTGTTTTACACACACGCACACACCCCCAACCAATAATAGTTCCACCCAAGGTAAACTGTTTTAAATACAAAGAAAAATAATAATTAAAAACTAAAACATTCATTTTGAATGTAATCACGAGATAATTTGTGCACTAGCTTATGCAGAATTTTGAATGACGACGTATCTGAGAATAATTAGCATATACTCATTTTTCAACAAGTACTTGAATAAGTTGCAGTAACTTGTTGGCTTGGAAGGGAGTATATGTGGTGACAATTAAATGAAACGATTTGAAGTCATCGAAGAATTAAATAGCTAGAAAATTTTCAGGGAAAAAAAGGCATGCTTCAAGAGGTTCAGAGTGAAGAAAAATACTGCAAATAAGAAAAAGTGTCTTAGAAGCTAATTTCACTCCTCCACAAAAGAAGAGTAATAGTAGTATTTCTCCGGTCCTAAATATAAGATCCTTTTTATAGTGTAAACTACGTACACTACAAAAAGGGTCTTATATTTAGGATTTGGAGGAGTATTATAATTTTTGATGCATTCCGCGAATCATGTAATTAAATAGTGAGGAACATTTTACATGGAAGCACTCCCTTGTCTGCTTGCATGTAATATGCAAAATGTAATACTGAATATTAAACCAGTAATTGGAGTAAGAGATCATATCAGTGCACCTTAAATCCTTTTCATTTAAACTGATGTATGGAACGTGGGAGATTTTGGGCCAAATTTCCTCATCCTTTTTGCGACATCGGTTTTCAAGAAGCCCGCAATCCCTTATGTGGAGCCAATGTAGAGTAGGAGGCAGCATTCCCCCTTCTAGTTTCTCAAGGTTGAGAGAATACACAATTTCTAGTAGTTGAAGAGAGTTTAGATGTTGAAGTCCCGTGCAATGTAATGTGTCAGATAGAGTAGAGATGAGAAGCTCAGTGATAGTTGGAAGGCGATGCCACTGTGTATGACATGACAATAAGTTGTCACACTCTCTTATCTCAAGCCGTTTTAAACTGGATGGTAAGGACCTTGCTGAAAATGGCTCCATTTCTGGACATCCTTCTATGCTTAGCTCTTTTAAATTTGGGACAAGACGTTCCATGCCATCAAACAAGGACGGCAGAAACTTGCATTTGTAAATGGAAATCTTTCGGAGATGAAGAAGAGGTGCCTTTGAAACCAAACAAGCCTTGAGATTTTCACAGTTTCTCACGTCTAACTGTTTCGCTGAAGGGGGAATATGAATCACTGGAGATGGCACAGCATCAGAACAATCCACCGTTAAATCTTCAATATGCGACTTTTCAGACAGAGGACCCAACATGTGCGCGCTTGAAATTGCCAGACGGCGTAGGGAAGGTGGTAATTCTTGCTCTTGCAACACTACATTTTCACTTTTAATTATTGCTAATTCGTGAATGTTTGGACACTTTGGGATAGAAGAAGCAAGCAGTGGACATGACATAATTCTCAGACCCTCTAAAGAAAGAAGTTGGGGAGGTAAATTTCCAACTAATTCGGGGCAATCAACAAAGCTAAGAAAGCGGAGTTTAGGAAAAGCTTGCATATCAATAGAATGCCATTGTTGCCAGGAGATCATATCTTCAAAATGAAGGGTTTCAAGGGAGGGAAACGGTACTATAAGTGAAGCACAATCATTTGCAGCCTTGAAAAACTCAGAATCCACAGTCACCACACGTTGTAATCTTTCAATTCTTAAGGACCTCAGAGAAGGTAGATGGTGAAGTGCAGGAATTCTCCGACATCTGTTGCAATCTGCCAGGCACAACTCAATCAAGTTGTCGTAGGAACGACCTCCTGACCAAATATAACCGCCATCTACCGAAATTTGTAAATCCTGATAACACTTAAACTTGTGCTTGACACATATGTCTGTCCATGAAAATAGAAATAAACATTGAGAAACACAAAAATGTAAAAAATATAGAATTTTTTTTACCTTGAAAATGTTAAGAATATAGAATGAAACTTAAGTTGCGATTGATTATGGTCACAGTTGTAGCAAAGCTGCAAAATGGTAAAACCTTGTAGCAAATGAGCAATTTTAAAAATTTTATGCTCCTACGAGATTGTGTTATAAACAAGGGCGGCTTGGACAACTAATGGAGCTTGACTAATTAATATTGGTACAATAATAAACAGGACAAAAATGAAACGTAATACTCCCTTTAACACTTAATATAAAAGTTAATTTGAGAGTTAGATATGATTATAAATATAAGATCTTAATTTTTTTTATTTATTATTTTTTTAAACTAATTTACCTAACTTAAAAATTGATAAATAATCTAATATTATATAAGGATATTTTAAGGAGATTATGTCATATTTGTTATAATCAACTAATTTGAATTCCTTAATGTATTATCCAAATTAATTAACTGGCTCTTATAATCTTATATTGAGAATCAAAGATAGTGATAAATATTTTAGATAGGTTATTGGAATCTGCTACAAATAGGAACAAATTGATGCTTCAAAAAACTCTCTTATAAAAAGCGACGGGGGCGGTATTTTCTTTGAAATGCCGAGTTGATGATTAGCTTACCAGAAAAGCAAGTATAACGTTTTTTAGAAAAATCAAATGTAATATGATTTCCTAGCAAAAAGATATGTGTATATATGAGAAATAAATTATTCCATAAATATTTTTGAAAAAATATTGTGTATATGAAGAATATATGTATGTATGTATGTGTTAGGATGTATATTAAAAGCAGTATATATGTTATGGTAAACAAATATATTTGGTAAATATTACAAATAATACTAAAATAGGCAATTTTGCTATGCGAAGATAGTGATGCCCAACAAGTAAAAGTTCTAATCTCATTGGTTGACCCAAAAAAGGGAAGAAAAAAAAAGAGGTTCTAATGTTGGCGCCGCCGCGCCAGATCTTCAGCGGTGGTGGGAGCTTTTCTTTTTAATAATTGAAGAGCATTTTAGTAATTTAAAACTAAATAATAATTTCCAATTAATTCCTTGGTCATGCAGAGTAATTTCAGGTTGTATTAGGATTTCTCTGCAATTATTTCAATTAGGTGGGACTTTAGTACAATTCTTCCTAAATGAAATCAATTACTAGTTAAGTTCTTATTATGAGATTTCTTACTAATCTCTCCTTAAATATATATCCTCCAACAAACTCGGCACACCGCCAGACCAAGGAAAAGAGAGTGTGTGGGAAAAGGTATGAGGATATAAGGAGATTGAGGTGGAAAACTTGGGAGAGAGGAACAACGGTTATGTTTTCCTTTGTCTCTCGGTTATAGTCATCTTCTTTGAGTTCTTCCAAAAGTCAAAAAAATAAAAAATAAAAAAAGAGTACAAGTCGATGATGAATTGAAGTTACAAGTAAGAATACCAATAGTAAAATAAAGAGACGGGGGAAGGGAAAATACCTTTTGTTGAGTAATCCACGGGTTCCACGAATTGAATATTTTCCAAGTTGCTTTGTAGATCGTATACATGAACTCCAAAATAAATTTCTTTTTCGCCTTCTGTTTCCTGTGTTTTGCTCTTAATGGCAGCCTTCACTTGACTCCACTCATTTGTAATGGGGAGTTCAGTGTTGTGAATCATGCTGTGCATATCACATATATAAATATGATTAGTCTTTATTGGTGACAATGAACTCCACTTAGAAGAAATACCCAGCCTGATGGCCTCGTCAATGTCCACAGAGAATTGACAACTGTAGACATAATCCTGGTTATCTTTAACAAGAATCCAGAGAAAAGTCGTTGGGAACATGTTGCGAACCCAGAATGACACAGAATTTTCCCGACTATAGTTATGGAGCCCTTCTGGAAATTTTTCTCCAGGTAAAATAAAGTTTTTTTTCCCAGATTGAAAGTTTAGTGCCTGCCAATTGCATATTGCCAAAAGAAAAAAAAAATCACAAACACATAAGTAATTAATAAGAAAAGAATATAATCATAGGGAGAGGGCTTGGGGCGTGCAGATACCTGCTCCATTACTTTGTTTTTGGATAACTTAGTCAATGATGTGCAATGTATGGCACTAAATTTTTCCAAGTTTGGCGGCATCCCTCTTATATGCTCAAGTTTGTCGCAATTATCCAACAAAAGATATCTCAAATTATGATACTCTTTGATACATTCTGGAAGAATTGTGAAATTGTTAAAACTCAGATCTAAATGCATCATATTAGTGAAGTTAGGAAGACAGAAAGCAAGAGAATCATCTGATAAATTGCAATTTGAGAAAAAAAGTTGTTCCATTTTCAATGCCATTGCTGAGCAACCTACGTTTGCTTCACCTCCACCTTCACACATCTTAAAATGACTCATTCCTTCACAAGAATTTGCTGTCAGTTTCCAAAGGTTTGGTAATGTACAAATGCTAGCTGGTAGTTGCATAAGATTAGGACATTCTTCCATGTGTAAGATTTCAAGTCCAACAAGATTGCAAATTGAAGATGGCAATTCAGTAATTGCTGTCTTATCCAAGTCAAGTGTTTGCATTTCTTCCATCATGACTAATACTTCTGGAAATCTCCGAAGACTTGAACAACCAAAGAGGTTGAGATGTTTAAGAGAGGTCAACTTAAGGCAAGATGGCAAAATCTTCAAATTTTCGCATCTCATAGCACTCAATTCTCTCAATTTATTTAAACATCCAATTGAATCATGAATTTCAGTTAAACTTGTGCAACCATCAAGCCACAATTCTTTTAAATTAGAAGCTCCAGACATGTCAGGTATTTGCTGTAGAAATTTGCAATTTCTTAAATTCATACAACTTATATTGTGAAACGCCTGCAACACAAATATCAATTTACTTTTATAATTTGGCAAAAATAAAACAAAAATAAAAGTATTAGGATGCTTATGTACTCACCTTGTCAAATGGTTGGAGCAATTCACAATAACTGAAGGACAAGTCAAGATAGAGAAGTTCATTAGTTGGGCACAAAGATGGTAAAAATTTGAAAGGATATCCTTTCCATTCCAACCATCTTAAACTCTTTGGCAGATATTTGGGACATTCTGAAAAGCATGCTTTTCTTATCACAAGCATTTTTAGATTTTTCATTTTCATGAACGCCTCTCCACTCCATTGTACTTCTATACTTTCAGGTAAGTATAGAATTATGGCTTCCACTTGGTCAGTCCCCTTCCAAGATGAAAAACACACACAATACATTACAAAAATTAGATGTTATGAATCATTGTAAATATTTTTAGAGAAAATGAAAATGCATTTTGGTGATCTTACCGTGTCTTGTTGCAAGACATGAAGAATGTCTTTGTAGAACCATAGTCTACTACGTCCACCAGGCTCACATGGTGATTGTTGTCGAACGATCTCTTTACCTATATCTTCTATCAAGTCGTGCATTATCACACAAGCTCTTTCAATCTTTATTAGGGATTTATCAGTCAACACTTTAATGGCATATTCTAATCGGATTCCACGAACACATAGCAACATATCACTGACAATTGCTAATTTCTCACCATTGAAAAAACAAGCCAAGTCAAGGAAAACTTGTTTCTCCACTTTCCCTAAAGTATCATAGCTTAATTTGAAGGCGCCCAAAATACTTTCATGTGGAATGCTTTTGAATTGATCCAATGCAGAATTCCAAAGATTAACTCCTTCACCACGCAAGTTAGAACCAATCACTTCTAAAACTAGTGGAAAACCACATGAATAATTTATGGCACGATTGCAAGCCTCTATGAAGTTCGAATCCACGTTTTCTTTTTCAAAGGCATGCCAACTAAGCAACTTAAGAGATTCCTTATCATCTAATTCCTTGACGTCATAAATGCTTGTAACACCATGACTCACTAATAATTTCTTATTCCTGGTTGTGATGATGATTCTACTTCCACAACCAAACCAGTTAGAACTACCAGCAAGTGCTTTTAATTGCTCTAACTTGTCAACATCATCAAGAATCAAAAGAATCTTCCTCTTACTAAGCCTATGTTCTATTATTGGTATTCCTTCATGATAGTCACCCAATCTGAGATCTTTCTCCTTGACTAATGTACGTAATAATGTCTCTTGAAGATGTGACAAACCAGTTGGATTTTCAGAATGTTTTCTTACATCAGAAAGAAAACATAAGCCTTCAAAATTATCAGCAATGGAATTATATACAGCTCTTGCAATAGTGGATTTACCTATTCCGCCAGCTCCCCAAATTCCTATAATTTTTTTTTCTTCAGTAGACCAAAGATCTAAATAAGTGATAACTTCCTTGGCTCGGGGCACAAGTCCAACTTGATAATCTGTAGTATGTAAATGCTGCTGGTTAATCTTAGCAGCAATTTCTTTCGTGATCCTTGTAATACACTCTTGTTCATTTGCAATCCTGACCAATTTGTAAGAAATTCGCTTTTAGTCAAACTAAACATTAAGATATGTCAATTTTATGTACAAAGACTTGGCTGCATTCCCTATTCCTCCCAATAAGATTTAAGATATAGTTTCAATCCTCACATAGTAGATGATGAAATATGAGAGTGTTGCAGCATTATTTTAAATTCAGTCCCAATTATCAAAGAAGTATTAAGTTTATTATATAAACGATAAGTATTTTTATACCCCAGTAAGTGTGAATTTATTGTGTTCTACCTAGTTAATGGAATTCAGCCACCCTAAGTATTGGGAGGAATATGCCATCCCTAGAGTTATTGTTTCTCTTTTCTAGAAAAATAAAATTAAAAACATGTTCTTCGTCGAGCTTTTAAAGAAAAAATCAGCATATTGCTAACCCGACAAAAAAGGAACCGAACTGGCCAGCATAGACTATGTGTATGTTGTTGTAAGATTGAAATTGTAATTAACTGTACTCATGATGATGATGAAAAGAGTGAAGAGGTATACTTGGGTTTGAGATGACAGCCTTTGAGTTCAGCAGCTTGAGACAGAGCGAGCCTCCATTTTTCCACCTTGTGCTTGTTGTCTTCGAATCTTTTCTCCAGTCGAGCCAATGCTTCTGCATAGCTTTCTCTGGGACGTCGTAGTTCTGATGGGTCCACATAATAAAATACTGGATATATCAACCGACTCTCTTCCTTGAAGCACTCCAGAATCTTTTCCAGTTCTTGCAAACAAAATGTTGAGTTTGCATAGTTTTCTGAGAAAACTATGATGGCTATTCTTGATTCTTGTATAGCTTGAAAAAGCGCAGGTGTGATATTTTCCCCAATCCTAATGAATTCATCATCGAGAAAGGCGTGAATTCCTCTTTGATGCAGAGAATTGTAGAGATAGCTGGTGAAGCCTAAGCGAGTATCTTCACCATAAAAACTAAGGAACACATCATAAGTCCAGTTGTAAGTGATAGAAGAGGATAGTGCTGGATGTGCCATGATTGTTAACGACGACACACGGAGCTAATCTTAAGCGAAGAGTCGAGCAAGAAGAGACAGATCTCACAGCACTGAAGAATGAAGGGTTGAAGCTGTAGCCAATATGCCACCAATTGTCTTATCAAGGGATCACCAGTCCACCACGAAGCTTCGTTTATAATATTTCCTTAACTTTAAATGGGTTGTCGTCTTTTTTTTTTTTTTTTGGTTGAAAGCCTGTCTTGGAATTATAATATGAGACTACGTAAATTTTCAGAAACATGTATAATTTTTAAGATTAATTCCAGTCTCTTTTATTGAAATCTTTCAAAAATCTTATAAGGTGTCTGAGAAATTATCTCAATTAATTTTTTTTATTCAAAATGAACATAGTACATTAATTTAATAACCTTTATTAAATAAAAGTAATTTTGAAAAATATTTTAAATTGAAAACATCCTGGCTGAGGCCAATCAATTGTAAGTAAATGTTTTAATAAAGAGCCAAGAGAGTTATAACCCCAAATCAGATTAACTGGATGATAATGTGTATATATATACACACACACACACACATATATAAAAGAGCCAAGGGAGTGAATAAATGAAAGTGAGAAGAAAGAAGCTGAAAGATTTCCGTGAATGATGGAAAAGGGAAAAGGCGAAAGATGAAATTCAAAAAAGGTATGGAGACAGAAAATAGTGGGAATTCATGAAAATGGTAAGAAGCTAGGGTATGGAGTTGTTGGTGAATCCATCATCGTTCACGCGCGCCTTCCTATATAACTCAATTAGTATATATACAGATTTAAATTTTAAAATTCTAGTTGAAGAAATATTTTTCAGGTATTTAATATACTGACTTTACATGCATATTAATGCAATTGTTATATCATAAATAAAAGAATTAGTTGATGTGCATACGTATTTTTGCTACATTGGTTGTTTAACTGCTTATTTTGAAACTTTTATATATATGCTTGGGTTAATATAATCTTTAGTCTTTCAAATTTGCTCTCATTTTGGTTTTGGTCCTTTAAGTTTCAAACCATAGGTTTTGATCTTTCAAATGGCAGAATGGTCCAAGCTTTTGTTGGATTATAAGGACCAATGTTATAAATGAAAAGAAATTTAAGCGACTAAAACCAAAATGAAGGCAAACTTAAGGGATCAAAAGTTGTATTATCCTATATACTTCGTTATTTTGATTGGCATGTTTGCTAAATGGTAATAGTTGACTGACTTAACACTAACAGGCATAATATTTTTGCACTATTTTGAAACATTCATGTATATTTTTACATATCAAAAAATTTTATAGTATCAGCTGCACGTTAAAAAAAATTCAGAGATAAACTTGCACCTTAATCCAAATATATACTAGTAACACGTGTAAAACATTTGAAAATTTAGACGTGTGGGGGGTCATGAGTAGCTCTCTTCTTTCGATGTTTAAGATAACTTAATAAGAGGGTTTATTTAATTTGTAGAGAATATGGCGGGTATAAAAAGGGCAGCTCCGGAATTTAAAAATGTAACAAGTCATCATTCATTTCAAAAATAATGTCTGCCACTACAGAAAATGAAGGTTTTTAAAATTGTTGAAAACAGGGAAAGGTGTGGCTAGCTTTTTTCTTTCTTCAAAGAAATCAATGTTGAAGAAGTATTTTCAAAGAAATTAATGTTGAAGAAGTATTTTTCAGGTATCATCTTTATGATTTGTGTATATCCCTATCATCGACTAGCCTAAAACTATATGACATTGTCAATTTGTCATATACATGCACAAGTTTTCTGGCTCGTAGCGTTAATTGGCTTTTCAAAAATATTTTCAGATTTTACACTCATATTAATGCAATTTAGCAATTATACTATAAAGGAATTAGTTAATGCAGTATACAGATTTTTCTTTTAAAAAAAAATGCTAGAGGACACGAATTGGTTGACAACAATGCAAACTTTTTTGTGTGGCCAATTTGATAGCAAGAAAAATCCTACTTTCACCTTTATTTCAATTTTCATTTCTACTTCCTTCAAAATCTATTTTTTCATATCATGCGGGGCATTAGAAATTCAAACGAAGTTTCATGTTTCTGAGACCAAGAAAAGACTAAAATTAAATATAAGAGTTATAAACTCTTAACAGATTACTCATACAGTATGAGGAAATTCATTCGAGAGACTAAACTACGTTAAAAACTTGTGGTATCTTAATTCGGTTTAAAAAGAGTGCTATTTTTTTGTCTTTCTATTGGGCGTATTTTCGGTATTAAGATCCCAAAATATCTTATACTACTTTCGGTCCTAATTAAAAGAGCTAGTTAACTAATTTAAGGAGATTAAGGAAATAAGTTAAGTTAGTTATTTGTAATAAATAAATGTTGTTTTTCCTAAAATATCCTTGCCAATCAAGTGTACTGGTTAAAACTATTATTATTAGAAGAACTTCCTTAAAAAAATATATGTAAATATAAAAGACAAAATAGATTGGAGTCTTATATATATTTATGATTAAAATAAAAGTCAAATGATATCTAATATTAAGGACGGAGGTAATATTAATTAGAAGACCATATATTGCTCGCACACTGAAAAATTCTTGGGAAAAAAAAAAAGTAAAGGTGTTCATACTTTTTCTATATTTCACACCGTTGGTCTCATCTAATCTTTTATCTATCACTCAACTACACTGCATTACTTGTTGCTTACAATTTTGTATGAGATATTCAGTAGTATCCGGTAATGTTGGCGGGAATGGTTATCTGAAGAGTACAAGAAGAAGAGATAAAGAAGAAAGTGGTGGATAATGTCTTCAAGGCATAGGCGGCGCTTTCCTTTATGTTTAATTCGCCCCCACCTATTCTTATCTTATAGGATACAAGTTGGGATGCTTGACAAATTTCTTTCAAGATACAACGAAGACCTTGAATATAGATTGTACTTCTAAGATTCAATTGAAGACAACAATGACTTTTACAAAATAATAATTTGACTCTATCTCTGCGTGCACTCAAAGATAAAGACAATGAGTTTGACCTTAGTGTTTGTGTTGTGTTGTGTTTAAATGAATTGATGGTGAGAGGTTTATATAGATCATGGAATGATGCCTTGAACAGGTACCTTTTGAAATAATATCTTATTAAATAAAAAGTTATAACCATTTGTTGGTTCATGAACCGACATAATTTAAATAAATACAATGTATTTAATATGTAGGGTCTTTTAATGTTGTAACTTCCTACATAACCCTTTATATAAATATATCAATTTATATGAAGATACAATCCCTTATATAAATATATTAGTTTATATAAAGATATAACCCCTCATATAAATGTATTAATTTATATGAGAATACAACCCTTCAAATAAATTAATTAATTTATATGAAGACATAACCCCTCATATAAATTTATTAATTTAATAAATTTATATAAGGACATGACTTTTCAAAAATATATCTCTTCATTTTAAAAATATTCCAACAGGTAATAAGGGTTCATTTGATGAAATTAACAAGGACATTTTTGTTAGGAAAAATTAATACACTAGATGATATAAAAGAGCTCTTATAAAAGGGATTTAAATTAAACAAATCTCCTAATAAAAGATTCCTATAGAAAGAACCGCCCATCTGTTTTCTTATTTTGAAATCAATTTTTTTTAATTTTTTTTTTAAAAAAAACTTGTTTGGTTGTTAATTTTTAATTAAATATTTTAGAACAAGATAGAAATACGTTCTTAAAAACAAAACTCAAATAAATTTTACATATTTTATTGTTTTCTATTTTTCTGTTATGCTTTGTTATTTTTCTTAATTATCCTTTTCACTTAGGGTCATGCTCACTACTTTGCCTCTTGTATTCTTCTACGGTGTTTCTCAGTCCTTTGTCTCCCCATCTGTCTTCGCTGCACTCTTCACTTTATTTCTCATATTCTATCAATTCTTCAATTTTTCAAGTTGATCTTAAGAATAATTGTTCCAAACAAGTTTTATGTTTTTCTTTCAGATGCAAATTAGTGCCCGCTGTCTTTTTCTACCTACCTTTTCTTAATGTCATCCTTTGTGGTTTTTCAGAAAATAGTGGGCATATCATGAAAATGGTAGGAAGCTAGGGTGTGAAGTTGGTGAATCCATCAACATTCGCACGCGCCTTCCTATAAAAATCAATTGATATATGTACTGATTTAATTTTTAAAATTAAAGTTCAAATATTTTTCAGGTATTAAATATACTGACTCTATATGCATATTAATGCAATGGTTCCTAACTTCCTATATTATAAATGAAGGAATTAGTTGATTAGTTGATGTGGCATACTTTATTATTTCGCTACATAGGTCGGTTAACTGCTTATTGTGAAACTTCTATACTCTCTACGCCCCTTATTATAAGATCTAATTTTTTCAATAGGTTTGTCCCTTTTTATAAGATTCCTTTTGAGTTTGTCTAAATATTTAATACACTATTATCTATTTTACCTCTAGTTTAATGCATTTAATAGATTCTCTATTTTTATTTATCTCACTATTACTCTATCACATTTATCCATTTGTATATGGGGGTATATTTGGAAAAAAATTATATTTGTTACATATTAATTGCTTTTAACTAATTTTAACTGTTTTCTTAAACCAGGTAATTTAGTTAAAAGGATTTTATAATAAGGGACGGAGTAGTATGGACTCTCACATCATTATTTTGATTGGAGTGTTTAAAACTTAACATGAATGACATATTTGCACTATCTTTGAACTTTCATACATTTTTTTATGCGCGTAAAAAAAACTTCATGGTGTTAGCAACACGAGAGAGATCATTTGAAAAATCATGTCTGCCACTACAGGAAAGGAAGGTTTATAAAAGTTGTTGAAAATAGGAAAAGGTGTGGCCGGGTAGCTTTTTTGGTGTTTAGTCCACTGACTAAGCAGGCGACTCCTTCAATATGAGATGTTATTTGAGCATTCATTAATAAAGAATCTTTATTAGTCTCATGCTTTGAAAGAGGACTCATCATTTCA